CACAACAAGAAGAAAAACTGCAATGAATGGATAACAAAATCACATTTAGATAGCATAAAAAATACAAGAAGATTTTATGCCTATTGTGGATTTATCTGTAGTACATAAATCATGTAAATGTAGGATACGATTCTTGTAACCCTATCCTTGTATACTGTACATTGTGAATTATATTGAAAACTCAGAAAGGAGTGACTTTGAGATCCTCAATATTCTATCATGGTATCAGAGTCAAGATCTACCACTCTAGGGACTCAATACTGTGGGCAATTTATACTCATCTAGCCCCCTCTCAATCGTCTCGCCCCTCTCAACACTCTGGGACAATCATAGCCAATTTAGCATCCATTGAAGAGGGTGCGTTTAGCTTAATGAGCTTGTGAGACTCACGACTTATTCAGTCAGCTATACATGACTATTTGGTAGTGGCTTAATAAAGTAGAAAGTGGCTTATTCAATAAACTTCTAGGCAGGGACGGACACAAGAATTTTTCCATATGGTGGCACCATATAAAATGATTGCACCTTCTAAAACCTTACGACTGCACCTTTCATGAGGCTAAATTTTTTACCTTACGACGCAGGGATTTACGCCCTTAATTGGGTCCGTCCCTGCTGCTTCTAGGAGGGAGCTTTATGCAAAAAACAAGTTTTTTTCCAGACCTACTTCTCCAATTTGAAAAACAGGCTCATTCAATCTATGAAAAAACCCTTTCAAACAAAAACCTTTCCAATCTATACACATAGATTAATCCATACAAATAAATAACTATCTTTATCCATACATGACTGAATGGAGAACCAACCAAACAGCCCCAGACTCACACATCAGCTAGGCTTGGACAACTTCTCCTTGTATATGTTGAAATCTCACTTCTCTCCATAAGGGCTCTTTCGATGATTAATCCAACGGGATTCACATATTCTCACACATTTCTTATTAATGGTAACTTGATCATATAACTTCTTCACAAAATTAATGAAGTAAAACAATCAAGAAGCGTGCATTTACCAAATCGAATATCAAGTAAGAAGGTGAAGGTGTATTCATCACAGGAGTAGAAACAGTTCCTTTTGCAACAAAGCTATAACTCAAGTCTTTCTGATTCATCTCCAGATTTCTTCACACAAAATCAATCATTTCCCACAAAAAATTTGATCCCGAAGAACTTCAAAACCTAAAAAAGTGTCAGTTCCTAGATCAAATTCACGCCAGAAACAAAACAAAAAAACAAACCACGACTTAACAGTACAGATTCTAATTAAAAACAAACTGAAACCAACCTCAAACAAATGAAAAAGGTAGATAACGGTGTTAATCGGTGAATTCGAACAATAATAAGTAAAAATTAATCTCAAATTGAAGTAATCAGAGGACGTAATCAAAGAAAAAACGTAAAAATTGAACGTAAATGCAAGAAAAATGCTAAAAAAAGAAGTGGAAAGGGAGAGAAATCGACCTGAAAACTGCAATGGCGATGGAATTGGTAGAAAAAGATTGAAAATTTGGGGCTTAAAAAAAGAAAACAACGCCGTTGCCGGGGATCGAACCCGGGTCACCCGCGTGACAGGCGGGAATACTTACCACTATACTACAACGACTGCTTCGATTTAAACTTTACACAGAATATTTATATTTAATATATTTTAATTTTAAATATATTTTTAATAAAAAAAATATAATTTAATTTATGTTTTTTTCAAAATTTATTGGATTAAATGGAAAATATTTTGTCGAGTATTTTAATTTTGGAAACAAGTATTTTTTTTTTTTTTTTTAAATTGTATTTTGAAGACTTATGAGTAGGGGTATTCATCCAAACCGTTTTACCTGGGAATCTTTGTCCCCGTTCGGGTCGAGTGAGTCGGGTTTCCCACCGTATCGAGGCAAATCACCATCCCTATCTTAAAAGTGCTCATGGTAATTATTGATCTACTAGATATAGCGGGTAAATATTAAAACAGGTACATTTTGGCTCCCGTTTCATATGACACATTGAAATACCCTCCAAGCGGTGTCCAACCTACTTTTCCAACAGGCCTTTTAAATCTTTTTTATTTTCACCATTTGTACGATATTGCCCCAATAAAGTTTATTAGGTCAGTGACTAGTATAGAACATCGTTTTATATACATCGGTGAAAACGTGAATTAATTATGTTTCTAGTTAACTGAGTAGTGTTAATGAGTTCAAATGTATCTGATTTACCTTGTTTTCAATAAGATAACCACCGCCGTAATATCTATAGCGACTTAAGGTTGTTGGTTCGTTTTCTGTTAAGACATGTGTGGATAAAGTTGTCTGTATGTTAACAAATAAGTTGTTGTTCGATTACTGTGTTGAATAAACAATCTGAATGTCATAAATGACCGTTTTATCTCCGGTTTTTTGTTTTTATTTGAATAAAACTAAATAACTTACAAAAAAATATCAATTTAAACGTGGTTTAAATAAAAACAACTTGATTTAACATTATTATATGAATTCAATGTTATAATCTAAACAAAAAACCTGCTCCATTTTCATTGATTTTAAATCTGCTCCAGAAAATTGTTTTTTTCAACATAGTTCCAATCTAAACAGAAAACTTGGTCCATTTTCATTGATCTTGAACCTGCTCTATAAAATCGTTTTTTTTTCCAGTATGGTTTTAAACCTAATCAAAAAACCTGTTCCGTTTTCATGGATCTTAAACTTGCTCCAGAAAATCGTTTTTAACATATCCCAGAAAAATCGACATTTTAACACGACATATCTGCTGGAGGCATACAGATCCCAGAAAATCGACAGAGAGAAATCGATGGAGATAATTGCCATTTTAGTGGTTAGTTTATAAGCCTTATGATGTCTCGGCGTTTCAAGACGACGTAGCTAATCGTTGAAATAAGAAACATACAGATTCAAGAAAAATCGACGGATAGAAATCGAGTTATACAATATAAATCAACATTTCAAGACGACATACCTGGTGAAGACACAAAATCGATGGAGGCTGTGTTGTGGGAGGAGCGGCTATGGAGTGTTGAGGGAGGAACGACTCTTTTTAGCAGAGTAGCAAAGTTTCTTTTATTTAACACTATAAGGGTACTCGCGCAATGCAGCGAGATACATCTCGATTTTAATGTTTTATTTTATTCTGTCTCTGTATGTTATAATGCGATTTTAAGTGGTACCAAAAAAACAACAATGTTTTTATTTTTTTGAATAAAATATAAATTTGAAGGTATTATAAAATTTTAAAAATAAAGATATCGATTTTTATATCAAATTAAATATTTAAAAGTTTTTGTTTTTTTTGTAATTTCTTTAATTCTATTTTTTATTATAATTTAATTTAGATTTAACAATGAAGTCATTTAGTTTTAGTTTAATAATATAATTCTTTTATAAAGATAATATTTAGTATTTTGAATTCAATGATTATCCTAAATATATTTTAGATTTTTTATATTTAAAATGAGATACTTATCCATAATTTGATTAAGTTTATCTGTAGTTAGTTACACAAATTCAAACATTAAACTTTAATAAGTTGTATATACGAACAATTTACTTGTAATCTTGAATTTTAAGTAATATCATCAATAAACAATATTTAATGCATAAAAAAACATAAAAATGGTTTTTTTTATAGTTTTTATCAAACGCTTTATAATATAATATAGATTTAATAACAAAGTAATTTATTTTTGGTTTAATAATATATTTTTTATAAAGATAATAATTAAACATTCTGTAGAACTCAATGTTTATCATAATTATATTTTAGATTTTCTAAATTTAAGATAGATGTTTATCTTGTATTTAATTATGTTTATCTGCAGTTAGTTACACGAATTTAAAATTTGAACTTTAATAAGTTGTACTTACGCAAAATTACTTGTAATCTTGAATTTTAAGTAATATGCATCAATAAACAGTACTTCATGCATAAAAAATAATTTTTAAGAGTTTCTGTCAAATGATTTATAATAAAGTATAGATTAGTAGTTGTGAGAGGGGCAATTGAGGAAATTTAATTGTTGAATTCAAATGACACAAGTTTGGTAGCTAAGCGATTTAGCCATGGCATGGCCGAATAAACCCATACCGAACAATCCCTTAGATTATAATGATGAAGTATTTTTTTAGATAAATACAGCTTATACATCCCATTAAGACACATCCGAATAATCCCTTAGATTATAACGGCGAAGTATTTTTGTAGATAAATATAATAATTAAATATCTTGTTATATTAATTTTATGATTATCCTGTAATTTAAACGTATTTATCAATTAAGTTATTAGTTTATTTTATAAAGTTTAAAGGGATTTAAAAAATTGTACATACGCAGTAACTGCTTGTAAACTTGAAATTTTAAGTGTTATGTATTATTCCTTCTGTCCCAAAATAAATGTCCACCATGAAAAATACATATAATTTCAAAAATATCTAATTATTACACTTTTTAGACAAAAAAAAAAAAAACAGTTTCAAGGGTGTTTGGGATTGCTTATTTAAAACAACTTATGTTTTTTTTTTTGTAAAAGTGCTTATCAACTTATATGGTGACAAATTGGAGTTTATAACTCCGGATGAACTGATAAAATAGATGAGATACCTTTTTCTTTTCTCATCCAAACACTAAAAACCTTTTATTACCGATACCACACTGAAATAAGTTAATAAATTAGAAGTAAGTAACTCATTAAAAACTCCTTATTACCAATGCCAAACCGGTACAAACGTTTTCTTTTTTTTTTCTCCATCCAAACACTAAGAACTTCTTATTACCGGTACCACACCAAAATAAATTAATAAATACTTTAAATAAGCAATCCCAAAACACCCTATAATCAATAATACAATATGCGAATTTGGAATACCAGATATGTGTGGAAATGTCATGAGACTTCTGAGGGACTTAAATGCAATTCCCTCAAAGAATAAGCCCTCTTATTGCAATTACCAAAATCTATCGACCTACTTCATACAAGAACAAGGGTCCATATCCCCAATGATTCCCAGCTTTTCAAAAGAAAAAGAGATTGAAGATTTTTAGGTTTGTTCTTCCTCCTCAATCGGTGTTGTTTCGGTGCTTTCTGGGAATCTAATCGAAGAGATTTCGAACAACACCCCTTTTGAGATTTCTGGTTTTTACGAACGAAACCCCTCTTTCAAGAATTCTTTGAATCGATTATATAATAATATATACTCTCAATTCCGATTGAATTTTTGTATAATCGGAATTTGTGTGATTTTATCGTATAAAACCCTGAAATCCCTCTTTGTATTATCGAGGATTTATAAGATAAAAATCAGAAAAAAGAATGGTGTCGGCAAATAGGGAGATGGTTGTGTATTGCTTCGATACACTCGTGGCTCATTACAATGGCGAACAAGTTCCTCCTCCTGCTTTCGATGAGGGTCAACAGTAATACTCTCTCTCTCTCTCTCTCTCTCTATATATATATATATATATATGTATGTATGTATGTATATGTACACACCAAGACACATATAAAGGTTTGATCTTTGTGGGTATTGTGACTTGTTAAAGTATTTTGATTATTTATGCACTAAAGTTCATTTGATAGATTATAATTGCACATTTAATGAAGGTCTTGATACATGCACACACACACACACATATATATATATATATATAGAGAGAGAGAGAGAGAGAGAGAGAGAGAGCCAAAAAAATGAAAAACCTCATAACACACCGGTAACCATCGGACGGTATATGCATACAAGTAATTGAAGTTCTTTTGTGGTTTTTATGCATGTGTGCATGATGTACATGTGTATACATGACAAATTGCTTACAAATTACTTGTATGAACGGTGCATATGCATGGTTACCAGGTGTTTTTTTTCCCTGGATACCTGTGAGACCACCTAATAACACTAAACCTTCACAGCAAAATAAACTTTGAAGGTTCGGAGTTTTTTTACCTTTAGATGATTTTGCCGTGAAGTTTCAAATGTTATTTTGTGGTGTCACGAAAATAGGTTGGTCTCACGTGAGCCCAACCCTATGTATGTATATATACACACAGAGACACATAAAGGTTTGATCTTTGTGGGTATTGTGACTTTTTAAAGTATTTGATTGTTTATGGACTAAAGTTCATAAGATGGATGATAATTGTAGATTTAATGAAGGTTTTGTTAGATGCATTTGCATAGTTATGATTGAAATTGGGCATATTTTTTTAGTGCATTGCATCTTTATGGACATTCCCTTTTGAAATTGGAGACTAATTTGAGTTTTGGAAGTTGGTTTTCTGAAGTTTTTGAATCTAAAATCAATACTAATTCATTTGATTTGGTGGAATGCAGTTATTGATGTTTTAAACCATCTAAAAGTTATAATGTTCTTCGTTTTCACAAGTTGGATGAGTTCATGTGACTTTTATCTTTGTAGTTTAAAAAATTGACTTCTAAATGCAATATATATATATATATATATATGTGTGTGTGTGTGTGTATAGGCGAAGGATCGTGTGAGAAGGAGAGTTAAGGTAAGAAGTGTAAAAAGGGATATGGACCCTTGATCACCTTTAATCTCTAACCTACCTATGAACCGCGCTTGATACAGGATTGACTCGGTGCATCTCATCATGGTGCATCCAAGGGCGGAGATCCCTTCTTGCGCTTCTCACCTTATTTCTGCTTCTCACTGGAACCCAACCCTATGTATGTATATGTATGTAGGGTTGGTTCCGGTGAGAATGGAAGCTATGGTGAGAAGGGTAAGGAGGGATCTCCACCCTTGGATCAATCCTAATTGAAGAGAACCACTAGATCAACACTAATGAGATACATGGGTTGTTTTGGGATTAAAAGTGATCAAGGGTCCAAATCCCTTGTTACACTTCTTGCCTTTTAACTCATATTCTCACACAATCCTTTATCTATGTATATATGTGTATAGGCAAAGGATCTGGACCCTTGATCCCCTTTAATCTCAAACCTACCCATGAATCACGCTTGATACGGGGATTGATTCGGTGCATCTCATCCTAATGTGCATCCAAGGGTGGAGATTCTTTCTTATGCTTCTTACCTTAATTCTCCTTCTCACCGGAAACCAAATCTATGTGTGTTTGTGTATATATATTTATGTGTGTATGTATATATAGGGGGATGAAATCAAATAAAAACCGTGTAAAAGTTAGAAACCGTCATGTGTGGTCTTTTTCTTGAACAAATCTTTGATTTTTGTCAAAATGCAGAAAGAAAAGGAAAAACCGCACTTTGTAAGAATGAACGATTTTGCATCAATTGTGGAAAGTATAAATGCAAGAATGAACGATTTTGAAGCCAGTTTCTTGACGAGTATGATGTGCTGCTTGTATTTTTACAAGAATCGTCGTTTGTTTGAAACAAAAACCAAGTAGTTTGGTTCAAAAAATTAAATCATATTTTTGATCTAATCAACCAATTAACTTAATTGAATTAAGTATGTTCTCTCTCGTGAATTGGCTTCATGAAATTGTATATATATATATATATATATATGTGTGTGTGTGTGTGTGTGTACTTGTCATTTTTGTTTTATAAACTCTACGAAACCCTTTACATTCAATCTGCTTTTTTGTTTCAGCCCCTTATTTGTCACTTGGAAGAAAGTCGTGAATGGTTATGAACCACGTTTACGTGGATGCATAGGGACTCTTGCGGCTCGCGGCATAGTAAATGGTTTCAAAGATTACGCTTTAACCAGGTTGGTACTCGCTCTATGCACTAAAAATAGGTCGGCAAAATCTCTTTTTAACGTTTGTTTATTGTATTCATTTTCAAAGTGACGAGTTGATGCATATAAATGTCTTTGACCTCCTGGGAGGCTGGGCTCTATCAGTAACCCGAATACTGCAAGGCCAAAGGCCCTTTGGTCATTGCCATCGTTGGTGTCACTAATAAAAATTTGCGTTTTTATCAATCATTGCAAGATATTTGCAAGATTTTTTTTCTTCGAATTTTGTTGTATTAAGGGTATTTTGGGTATTTGATCATGAGCGAAAGACCATTCAAGCTCGTGAAGCAACCGTTGATATATTGTTTTGTTTTGCAGTGCTTTGAGGGATCATCGATTCCCTCCGATACAGGCTAAAGAGTTGCCGTTCTTGCAATGTACAGTTTCGATTCTTACTAATTACGAAAATGCTGCTAACCATCTCGATTGGGAGGTATGTTTCGTGTATATTAAAAGTAACTCCTTTAAATAAAACTGCAAATAAGATTTTTAAAAGAATTACAATTACAAATATAAGATCAGTGGGCTAATCTTGTCGAGTTGCTGAGCCAGAGCCCATATTGAGCTCAGGATCAGTTGGGATAGTCGTAGGAACTCATCCCATTTATGGGATCATCGAGCTACTGCGCCTGAGAGCCATATTGCGCTCAGGCTCAGTTGGGATAGTCATAGGAACTCATCCCATTTAAGCTCGTTGATCTACTGAGGTTCAGATGGGATAGTCTTAAGAACTCATCCCATTTAAGCTCGTCGAGTTACTGAGCCTGAGAGTCATATTGGGCTTAGGCTCAGTTGGGATAGTCGTAGGAACTCATCCCATTGAGCTCGTCGAGCTACTGAGCCTGAGAGCCATATTGCACTTAGGCTCAGTTGGGATAGTCATAGGAACTCATCCCATTTAAGCTCGTTGATCTACTGAGCCTGAGAATCGGGCTCAGGCTCAGGCTCAAATGGGATAGTCATAAGAACTCATCCCATTTAAGCTCGTCAGCTACTGAGCCCTAAGAGTCGTATTGGGCTCAGGCTCAGTTGGGATAGTTATAGGAACTCATCCCATTTAAGCTCGTCGAGTACTTAGCCAAAGAGCCCATATTGGGTTGGGCTTGGGATAGTCAAATGAACTCTTCCCATTTAAGCTCGTTTGAGCTACTGAACCCTAACGGGCTTGAATCAGCTCAGGCTTAGCTTGTATTTCTCTCTTCCAAATGCATAATATCTTGCAGGTCGGAAAGCATGGTATAATTATTGAGTTCACTGATCCCGACTATAATACAAAGCGAGGTGCAACATACCTACCTGATGTGGCTGCTCAAGAAGGTTTGATTTTTGTTTTAACATTAACTTCTGTGCGTTTGGTATGCGGGACGTGGAACAAAAATCAGAGAGACGTAACAAGATTGGTAAATTACTAAACTACCCATGTCAAATTACCTTCCACGGTTCTTTCACTTGCCTTTAGGGCCTCTTTGTTAGCAGCTTAACGAAACTCATAGCTTATTCGGCCAACTATACATGACTGTTTGGAAGTAGCTTGACAATATAGAAAGTAGCTTATTCAGTAAGATTCTAGGGGGAGCTTTATGCAGTAAGCCAAGTCTTTTACAAACTTGCCCCTCCCATTTAAAAAACACGCTCCTTCCATCTATGAAAAAGCCTTCCCAATCCATACAGACAATTTTATCCATACATGACCTATGCTGTCAAAATCGTGATATATCGCCGATATATCGGCGATATATCGGATATCGCTCGGAAAAAAAATATCGGAACTCATATATCGGACAAAATATCGGGAACGATATTATCGGCGATATTTTCCGATATTTAGCGATATTTGGCGATATTTTAAGGTAAAAATCGGGCCGATATACCGATTTTATAGTTCTTACAACATCGAGTCTTCGACTTCTTCTTCTTCTCACAACGTTTCTCTTTTCTCGGCCTCTCTTCTCGATCTCCTCTGCTTTTCTCTGTAATCGACACAACATAGCCAGCGTCTGATGGCAACGGGGCGGGGATGGAAGAAGGTCGATTGCTGGTCTGCTGCTCACTCTACCGGCCGTCGCTTACAAGGGTCAAGGGGGGAAGGAAGGCGATGGCGGTCGATGGTAAGTGGTAGGCGGTACGGTAGCTATCGCTTAGAAATACAAGTGCTCCAGGCCAGTCCAAATTTCAAAAAGCCCAAGCCCAAATGACTAATTAGACTATTAGACTAACAGTTTGCCCAAATGACTAATTTTATTATTTATTAGATGATGTAATATTTTAATTTTGAAACTATATTTCTAAACTCTAATTAATGCATATTATATATAATTCTAAGATATATTATGTTAACCGTTATTTTGGACCGATATATCAACGATATATCACCGATATAACCGATATATCGAATATCGGTCCTGACCGATATTTCGTATTATGACCGATATAACAGCATAGTACATGACTCAATGGAAAACCAACCAAACTGCCCTAACTCACTCTTCGCCGTCCGGTCCATGTACCAAACGCACCCGAGTCAATCCTCGTGTGTTGGATGGTTGATAACGTGTTTGATTTCGTCGACTACTTTTGTTTTTTCAGGTTGGACAACGATTGAGGCAATCGACTCTCTGATGAGAAAAGCCGGCTACAACGGCACCATTACCGACTCCGTGAGGAGCCGTATTCGGCTGACTCGTTATCAAAGCACGTTGTTCACCATGCACTACACCGACTACGTTAACTATGTGAAAACGACGAGGGGCACCGCCCCGTCTGTCGTCGGCCTCAAAGCTCATTAACCTATTTAACTCATTGGGTACCATTTAAGAAAAAAAACTTGTAAGGTTATTTGAAAGAAAAGGTGTCTCTATTTATGCACCCACCCATATCCATATCTGCTGTAGTTGCTGTGAAACTGTATCTAAATTGTTGGTCCATTTGAATTGGATGTTAAAAAACACCATCATCGTTCCACTCAAACCTTCAACACATTTGATGTTTGTAATATATATATGCAACATGATGCTGCACTTTTATGTCTACCTTTTTCTTTTGTTAACAATGGATATCTGGACCAGCTTGCGTGCACCTTAAATAGACCAAGGCCCTGGAGAACGGCCGGTAAAATCTCCAGTGGCCTTACAACAGGTGACTGTTGCGGACCCTTAAAAGACCCAAGTTTTATTGTCGGTTGAACAAACTCTACAAGGTTTTATTTATGTAATCTTTAGTTCTTGAAAAGGAGGTATTTTTTTCCCCGAAAAAGCCGAATTATTCAAAGTAGGGGTGTTTATGGGTTGGGTTGAAGACATTTGAACAATTCAATATAATGCTTGCGGTTTAAAAAATCTTAACCTAACTCAAACCAAAATGCAACCGTACCCGTTAGTCGAGTTGATACTTTGGTATATTAAAGTATTCTTCTGACCTTGAATATATTATTTCTCTACTTATAATTTTTTTTTCATGATCAACCATTTGGTACAACTTATCTGTACTTTTTATGATATCATATTCAATTAATTTTCTCAATTTACATATATATGTTCATAGTTACTGAACATATATACGAATGAATTGTATAGAGATGGAGAATAGATTAAAAATATGTATATATGAAAAGCGTACGTGACAGTGTAATTGTATAATATATATAGTGTAATTGTATAATGTTATATATATTAAGATAAACTCAACAATCATATTAAATCCAAAAAATAAAAGGATATCGGGTTCATCGAGTTGAGTTGAGTTTAAATAATAGTAACCCAATATTTACGGTTTAAAAATTTTATAACTCGATTAGACATCGGGTTGAGTTATTTTATGTTGGGTTGGGTTGAGCGGGTTGGTCGGGTTTTTGAGCACCCGTAATTCAAAGTGTCTTGGTTCTTATTGAATGTAACGATGAATTTTTGTTTCTGTTCGTTTTTTTATCGCTTATTGGTAAATTTTGAAATTATTGAGGATGCGGATGTCAAGTTGTCAAGTTATATTGTAATGGAGAATGCTAAATGCATCCCATTTTATGGCATGATCAGGTCAAATCGTACACTGGAAACGTAAAAAGTAAGGTTTGATGGTGACACGTGCAAGGAGGAAAACGGTGTATTGAGCCCACCCCTAATGTAACACGTCACCTTAAAATCAACTAATGTCACGTAGGTTTAAAACCCTAAAACTTTTCACAATTATTTCGCTCACCTATCCAGTGTCGTCTTGTTCGGTCTCGTCCGCCATGTGCTTGCGATACGAACTTAGAAAACATGCAATTTAAAGAAACCTACAAGGCAACTCGATAGCAAATGGGGCAACATGAATCTCGATAATCGAGATACCCGTTAGAATACGTGAAATCCGTCACATTACTTTTCAAAAGGGCTCTTATAGATAGAAGTAAGGTTCCAACATATATCGAGAAGAATAAATCCAAATTCAAATCCGCACGATTTGCACAATCCATTCCAGTTAAACCCGTCTTAGAACTTTCCCATAACATAGTCTGTCGATATATCGTACATTATAACATGAAATTTCAGTCGGAATTATGTCGTCGCTTGTCCTTGTCTTTTTTGTGTTTCCTTTTGTCGTCTGACTCGTGAGTGTGCCTTTTCTCTCTACGCTCGTGTTTCCTCTCTTCCCGTCTTTCGTGTTTTTCGTGTTTCTTCTCTTCTCGCCTCCTTTTCTTCCGCCTACTTTCATCTTCTGAATCTTCCTTGGCGTCTCTTGTAGACGGAGATGCAGGCACATTTGTAATTTTTGGCGCTTCCATCGTTACGGTGGGTTGTGCAGAACTCGACTCTTCCCAGGCTTTAGGTGCCCTGCGATATAAAATCATAACAACATGAAGCTTCAGGTTTTATCCTTTCGGTTTCAAATTATCATTGCGGAAAGAGAGGGAGGGGGGATTGAGTATCAATTAGGATGGTTTAATACACTGGACATGACAGAATAGAGATTATTATTCCACATTTGGCATGACTTTTATGTGGAACAAACAAGTACAGACATGTTCCACCCTCACACCATGAAAAAAGGTGGAACACGCCTATATTTTACCAATATACCCTCAAAGTAAAACCTAATTCTCTACTCAAATATCAAATACGCTTCCCTCTTAACATTTTATGCATTCTTTAAATTTTATTTATCATACTTTATGCTCTTTAAACTTTGACCTTATTGTTCTCAAAATATTTTTATACGGTTTCTATATTTGGTTAATTTAAGTAATTTATTAGATATTAATAATAATAAATAATATAGAAAAGGTATAAATAAAAACTATTTTTTACATAAACTTCATATTTTGGTGTCATTTTACTTGTCTTGACGAAAACATTCAAATGATATATTTTCTTACAAAATTATTACTTTTATTATAATTTAATAAATTACATAAATTAATCAAAATATAGAAATAATATAAGCAATTCATTAGGGTAAATTGGTCATTTTACCAGTCTTGTCTAACCAAACAATGTACAATTGTTATGTCCTGTCTTGTCATGATACCAAAAGCACCCATAGGCCTTCTAGATTTTAGCCTTCTATCCAATTTAAAACTTGCAAATTAGATTAACGGTACAGTTTAAAGAACGCCTTGCACTAGTAGGCATACGACGGACGAGACTTAACTGATGAGAGCGAGATAGACGGGTGAAAGAATTTTAGAAGGTTTAAATTGACATGGGTAGTTTAGTAATTTACCTCTTGTCCCATCTCCCTAATTTTTGTTCAATCTATTTTGGGCGGGACAGTAACTGCATTTTTGTCCCACTAAGGTCCAGTCTCAGTCTAAGGGTCTGTTTGTTAGCAGCTTAAATGAGCTTAATTAGACTCACAACTTATCTTGTCAGCTATACATGACCGTTTAGTAGTGGCTTAATAATACATAAAGTGGCTTATATGGGGAGCTTTGTGCAGAAAGCCAATTTTTTTTTCTGAACCTGCCCCTCCTAATTAAACTCCTCCATCTATGAAAAAACACTCTCAAATAAAAACATTCCCAATTTATACAGATAAATTACTCTACATAGACAACTTTAGCCATAGAAGGAGACAACAAGTTTTGTCAAAACTCGCGTACCAAATGCACCCTAAGAGTGAAATTCAGTTTGGTTTAGAATCTTACTTGGCAAAACCGAGACCCTGAACATGAGCCGCCTCAGCATGTCCTGCTCCCAAGTCTTCTGCCGTAGAGCCTCGTTTCACAAGTTCAGAAAATTCGTGTTTATCAAGTCTATTACCTTGCGGTTTTGCAGAACGCTTAGGAGCTAAACCGAGAGCCTCCCTCATAGCCTGCTCCTCTTCTTCCTTAATCCTTCGTATCTCTTCTTTAGCAGCCTCCATATCTGCCTCTTTAGATTTTTTATCTCTAGCATACCAGTGTAGATCCTTCCCTGTTAAATACGAAGCATATATTAACGGAAACCCCAAAAAGGTTAAAAGAGAGAACCCAAGGGAAGAAGCCGAGGATTGTGCAAGGAAACCCGTAATGCTTGTTGGATGTTAATCAATTTATTTTTATTACCTTATTACTGTTATTTAATCTTCTTAGGAGTACTAGAAATATCGAACCCACGAATGGGAATATGTTAGAGTACGACATATGGGAGCCCAGACAGCCCATGATCCAAACTAATCCAGTTAGCTTGACCAGCACCCACACCACAGGGTCAACCCAAGGCGGACCCACTATGGTGCATACGGTGGCACGGGTTACGCTTTGTTCCTCTGTCGTAGCGTAAATTTTTTTAAGATCGTCAAAGGTGCCACCGTATTATTTTGTTGGGGCAACCATATACTTCTTGAAACTACAATAGTAACACAAGTTTCTCTTGGCAAAGTTGGCTTGCATGGTATTTTCTCCCCTTCCAGGCGCGAGTTTGAATCCCATTTGCATCATTTTCATGGTTAATAGCTTTTAATTTCATGTTTATTATGTTTCTGGAAAAAAATTGGGATAAAAGACTCGAACACAAGACCTCACATACAAAAAGCAAAGAACTAACCAATAGAGCAATTACAATCTTCAAAAAATATCCAAATTGGAAAAAATACGTCTGACTCAGACCCAGTAACATAAATTACGTCGAACCACGTTGAATATACAGATTGGTTATCGACTGAAATGTAACATGGGTTGATAAATGAAATAAAGCCAACGCCATCATAAAGTATCACACTTTTCAATCAGCTAACTTAAGCAGGGTTGATTCCCTTCATGATCAAATTAAAGAATGTCCTTGATCTTTCAGTTCACGAAGTCATATCTATACTATATTATAAAGCATTTGACAAAAACTCTTAAAAATCATTTTTTATGCGTAAAGTACTATTTATTAATGCATATTACTTAAAAGTCAAGATCACAAGTAGATTGTGCGTAAATACAACTTATTAAAGCTCCATATCTGAATTCGTGTAACTAACTGCAGATAAACATAATCAAATACAAAATAAACATCTCACTTTAAATATAAAAAATCTAAACTATAATTATCTTAATTATTATATTTATAAAATGTTATATTATTAAACCAAAAATAAATTATTTCATCATTGAACTTAAATTAAATTATAAAAAAAAATTAAAGAATACATAAAAAATGAGAACTTTTAAATAGTTGATTTAATATTAACATTCATATTTTTTTTTCAAATTTTTATGATATCTTCAAATTTATATTTTATTCAAAAATAATCATTATTGTTTTCTTAAAAACACATAAAAGTATTATAACATCGACCAAGACAAAGAATAAAAGAGAACATTAAAATCGAGATGTATCTCGCTGCATTGTGCGAGTACCATTCTAGTATATTTATAAAGAATGAAGAGACTAACCTTTCTGCCATCTCCCAACAGGAGCCTTGAGACTGTGACCAATATAGTTTTCTCGATATTTATCAGCCTTCACATCATCCCAGCTAAACTCTGCACAGTAACATACATCATGTTCATATATGATTTACACGATTCTTTCTCTACTATGTTGTACTCCTTCAGTCTCACAAGAACTGCATCTATAACTCTATGTGAAATTAGTAGCAGTTGATTAAAAGCCAAAAGTCCAAAAAGCCATTGCATTTAAGTGAACATCACTATTCACGGACCTAAGTGGAGCTACATTCAAAAGTTAAATAACAACAAATGAACCATAATCAGACAGAAACAATGCCAATTATATATAGAACTTTTTTGGGGTAACTGTGGGTAGCTGGGCCAGCTTACGCGCACCGACTAATCCCCTCGATGACTACCAATGACCTGGAGTCATCATAGGTGAACCTCCATGACCAGGTGGGATTTAGCAGGGACTGAATTTGAACCCCGGGAAGATGAGATTTTCCACTACATCCCCCTGAGCTTTAACCAGTGCACGGTGCACCACAACCCAAGTGGTTAAATAGATTTTTCACTTGTTCAACAAAGCAACACATCATGGACCTAAATGCAGCTGCATTTAACTCTAATCTTGTTTCATGTCTAAATCGTACAGAGGGATGTTTTTCATTCCGTTCTTATTTCCTAATGAAGTGACGTGGCTATCACATGTGAAAAAACAACAAAATAATGCAGGTTGATCCTTCTGTTCTAGGTTACAGGCCTTGACCTTCATTGCAATGATGCACGTATGCAGTAAATCTTCTCCACATCATTGTGGCAACTGGCAGTGCTACTTATTGCTTAGATTCACATAATAACTGATGGTGTAATATAGTAAACCATGAAATGATAGATTAATTAATTACATTGATACATAAATTCTGATTTCAAGCAGAATGTGGGAAGAATTAAACTGAAGAAAGAACAAGTAAACTAGACCATATATAAAAGGAACAATTATATAACTGATTATAACTATAAAACAAGTCTTACCATCATTTTACAAAGGGGTAATGCAAGCCAATTATAAAAAAGAAAGAAAGAGAAATATTGAATCCTAAAGCTGTAGCACAATGATCCAATCAGATTTGTATCAGGCAACAGGCAAGCATAAAAACAAAAGGTGAGAATGAACCACAAACCTGATTGGTTTTGAACATCCTAATTAACTACAGTATTACTATTCCTAAATTCCATATTTCACACACTTCATATCTCAATTAACAATCTTATTTTCAGAATTCTTGAGATAAACGACTTTGCAATTACCCTTCTGTACAGTGTCCCATGCTTTCACAAAACGACCAAATTCTCAAACATAATCATCCCAAATATATCGTTCTAATACCAATTCGATTCAAAAAAGCATTCATCGTTTAATTACAGAAATTTTTTGCGTAGATACATACACAAACACAAGAATATACATCAAACTAAGGCAATTACTGATTTCAAAACCCTAAAAAGCAAAGATGTGGTTTGCACTTACGATCCCGACCGCCACGAACACCACCTCTGGACGGATGATACATAGTTTGTTATATATCTGTGTTTCTTGAGCTGTAATTATAAACTTCAAATTGGTGGAGACGAATCGAAGATCTTTGCAACTTCGCTCGTCTGAAATCGTTGGGGTTGATTTTTCGTATTTCACGGAGGAATGTTATTATTTATAGATAATTACAGAAATCATCCCTGAACTTTGTATGTTCTATTGAAAAGGTCCTTTAATAACTGTTTTTTTATAATTTCAGTCCCTATTTCCAATTGTTGGCTTCCTTCAAACCATTATCTTTTGAGAGTAAATTAAGGTAACGTTTGTTTTAAAGAGGTGTTGAAGTCTAAAGTTTTATTTCACTTCTAATTTATAAGAGGTGGTGTTGAGGTTTGAAATCTGAATCAATAATATTGTTAATTTTTATAAACTGATAAACGTCTGACTTTGTTTAAATTGTCTATTTTACTCATTAAAAATTATAGTGTTGAATTTATAGATAAATTTATACAATTTCACATATTTATTCATCATCGTTATGAAATTCACATCTAAATTATATAATTAACATTCATTTAAGCGAAAATATGTTATTAACGGTGTTTAACATATTTACATCCTATTAAAATACATTAATGGAGAGATGTGATAATTAATTTGGTAAAGATCGATTGAGAGAAATGATCGATTACGGTTAATCGATCGAGAAACGCCGTTATTGAGAATTTGAAGACCAATAAGAAGCAAATAAGATGTTGGTTTACCTCTTATCAGATCATTAAGAAAATATGACATAATTGCCTCTAAAAAATTAAAAAAACAAACAGTCTGATTAACGAATCATACATAAGGGACTGATAAGAGTTTTTTTTATGAAAGACAAACAAGGCTTAAGTTAGTTCCTTCGGTTTGTTATAATTTACAATTTTCGTCCTTGTTGTTTATAAATTGTGATTTTAATCCCTATGATTTGTAATTTATTATTATTTTTGTCTTTATAATTTACAATTTATTGTTGTTTCAATCCTTGTGGTTTATAATTTATTACGATTTTGGTCCTTTGTACTTAAGGGGCCGTTTACTAAATACTTACCCGATAAGTGTTGATAGGGTAACTTTCCTCACCTAATGCACATGGCAAAGGCTGAAAATATTAACTGGTAAGAGCGATGATAAGGATAGAGAGTCTTACCCGGTAAGTGATTGTGAGGACTCTTACTTGGGTAAGCGTTTACCGGGTAAATTGTTGCATACGATACCGTTTTAATATACTACAATCTTATATGATAAAATAAATTATAGTATTGACTCCTATCGATAAGCACTTACCGGGTAAGTATTTGAGTAAACGGTCCCTAAATGTTGGAATTAGTCTACGGATGAAAGTAGCAATGAATTGCAAACCATAACGACTAAAATCACAATTTCTAAACCACATTGACGAAGATAAATTATTAACAAACCACATGGACAAAAACCGTAATTTACTCTATCTTTTATGATTTCTATCGGGTAATCTCGAGAATGACCAGAAGAAACATGTAAAGGAAGTGAGAAAATGAACACGTTTTTTCATTTTTGTAGAAAATGACAACTAAAATCATGACGAAATGACACGTGTCACTCTCTCATTGGTTGAAATCGCAAATAACCTCACAATTTGAGGGTCCGCATGGATTCTTTCATATCTGCAAGGGTTTTATAACATCCCAGACAATGTAACAGATATTGTCCATTTTGACCACATCTAGACTCACGGTTTTAAAACATGTCTGACATAGAAGGTATTCAGTCTCTTATAAGACAATCTTCGTTCTCTTCCCCAACTAATGTGGGATCACACATAATTCATCCAAATTATTAGATTGAGATGATCAAACGTATCTGCTTAAAAACGGGGTTATAACCTATTTATAACCAAAAAGATTGATTATATTTATTCTCTTTAAATTGACATCGATACTGATATATCAAACAAATCTTTTTGGTACGTCGATTCTTTTATTTTCGTACATCACAACCTCCATGTCGAACAGAAAATACTAAGGCTGACAAACAGATACATCAAAATAATCAAACACCTAATTCTTAAGTCCGATTTCGATCTTTTGAACCGTCGCTACATCCGTCTTAAACGACATAGCAAGCACGTTATCGTCAATCCCGGTAGTGAAAACACTCTTGGGTACCGAAAACAAACCCGCATTCGCGCTCCCAAATGCCGAGATTGCAATCGCGGATTGATTATGGTTCCGGTTATACTGAAAATGAACAAGTCCCTTCGGAAACACAAACATATCCCCAACCTGAAGCGTTTTGTTAAATATCGCGTTTTTGGTGTCAACGAACCCCACTTCGAGCGTACCCAACATCACCAATAGCAGCTCCGCAGACCGAGGGTGCGTGTGAGGTGGGTTCACGCTGGCTGGTGGGAACTGGAGGACCGCGTAGGACACACTTTGACCGTTTAGAGCCGGGAATTCGGCCATCGAAGCTTTAATGACAGTGAAGTTTTTTGGGTTCGGGTTATAGAACGCACTAAGCCCGCTATAGGTGAAGAAATAGGCTCCAACCGAGCTAGTATTCGGGGTTATGAAATCGGTCAAGATATCAGGGTCCGCAACCGTTGTTCTTGAAATTGCTAGAACTACGGCTAGTAGTCCCAATAAGGTGAGAGCCATGGGTGAAACTGATAATGTACAAAGTGGTTACGTTGTATGCTGTTTTAGGCTCGGGTTTTCGTGTTTATATATGGGTCGTTGGCCACAACGATTGTCATTTTTATGTCGTTATAATATTACCGTTAAGTAGTAGCATAACAATCGGGACAAGAAAACAGGCATGCCGGCGATTTGTTCTTCTGAGATTTCTATGAACTTCCGTAACGAACGAAATCATAACGAAACGAAAAATCGAGAAATCTCGAGAAAGATCTTCGTTTTTTGACTGGTTCTAACTTTGTTTTTGATGAACAAGATACAGCCATCTGGGTGAAGTAAACAAGATTTCTTGTTCTATTTGTTCAAAAATGGCAAAAAAATCGCTTTCCAGACGTGTAAACGTAACGTGATAACAGAATCGGCTTTATAGGACACCAAATTTATATAAACGTCATGATAGACTGCTTTATAGAACGTAAAATTTACTAATAGACTGCTTTATAGGACGCCAAGTTTATATAAAAGTGTTACAATAAATTTATAAGACGTTTTATCAAGTTTTTTAGAACGTTTTTAAAACAAAATACCGTATTAGCTATTTTATACGACATTATTTTGAAAAAGCACCCTATAAACAGATGAATTTATAGGACACTTCTCAAAAACGTCTTATACAATAACTAATAAGACATTATATTTTAAGAACGTCCTAAAAAACTTGTTAAAACGCTCAAAAACTTATTGTAGCACTTTTAGATATGACGTTTTATATACAACCCGTTACGCGAGCCGACTAATCCCAGAGCGACCACCTGTGCTTTGCAGTTAGCCCCAAGTCGCCACATTTGAACCTTTATGGCCATAGGGGGATTTTCATTCCTCCTTGGATTTGAACTGGGACCTCCAGACACTTTTGACCTTCGGAGCCCAAGCTCAAACCAATCAGACACCACCCTTGTGGTCGTATAAACTTAAGCAGTACAAAATATAATATTATAACGCTTATACATTTTAGGCGTCCAATGAAACCGATACTGATATTTGATGTAGAATTACAAGAATAAGGCATATCCTTTGGTTTTGGTTTGTTTCATGGAGTTCTATCACTATATATATCTTCACATTTCTGCCTTCAAGAAAACAAGAACCTTATTACCTTCTTCTACCTTCAAAAATGGCGTCAAAGCTTCAATTTCTCTTGCTACTTTCATTTTCATATGCCATTTTGCAGTTATCGATGGCCGGAGATCCCGATATCCTCTCCGACTTCATCGTGCCGCCGAATGTTGGCGGCCCGCTTGACGGAAACTTCTTCACCTTCACCGGAATGCGTTCACTCGTTGGTGCACCATTTCCGACCACTTTTAAGGTGTTGAAAGCTTCCATGGCTGAATTCCCGGCTCTTAACGGTCAAAGTGTTTCTTATGCTGTACTCCAGTTCCCTAGCGGCTCGGTTAACCCACCGCACACCCACCCACGGGCTTCCGAGCTCTTGTTTGTGCTCATGGGTTCGTTGGATGTCGGGTTTGTCGACACGACCAATAAGCTTTTTACGCAAAAACTTCAACAAGGTGATATCTTTGTGTTCCCCAAGGGACTTGTTCACTTTCAGTTCAATAGCGACGCCAAGTCTCCGGCTCTAGCGTTGTCGGCGTTCGGAAGCGCGAGTGCCGGGACGGTGTCGGTCCCGAATACTGTTTTCAATTCGACGATCGACGATCAGGTGTTGGCATTGTCGTTTAAGACGGATGTTGCTACGATTCAGAAGATCAAATCGGGGTTTTCGGGCTAATTAGGATCGGGTTCTTGACTGTTTCTTGTGTTTCTGATTCTTGATCATCGACAATGTTGTTCTTGATTTGGTGAATAAATTTCGATGTTGATTTAAGATATATTTTGTTCGTGTTCGTCAATTTATATATCGATTTCTAAATTCGATATCGTTTGGTATCAATGGATATCGTTGTCAAATTGTTTTCGTGAGACCCTTTTTTTTACACTTGAAGCTTCACAGCAAAACGCTGTGAATGTAACATTCACAGTGTTTTTCTTGTGAAGGTAACATTCATAGTGTTTTTGTTGTAAATGTTCGGCTTTTTTTACCTTTACATGATGCAAGTCGAACTCGAGTATCACTATACTCAACTTCAACTCGAAACCCAGTTTCCAAGCTCGAACTCGACTGGAAAACTCGCAAGTAGTGAAACTCAAAGCTCGACTCGAACTCGAATCAAGCTCGAACTAAGCTCAAATCAAGCTCAAACTGCAATTCAAATCAAGCTTGGACTCGAACTCGAATCAAACTCACCCATTGAAATTTATGAAATTTTTGGGTTTTTCTCTTATAAATTTTAAAACTTAAATGCGTTCTCTTAGTTTTTATAAAACTAAAGAAATCGACTTTAAACTTTTTCATCAAAAAGACAAAATTAAAAATTTCATTCACCCCTCTCTTTTTATAACATTTTTTCTCTTTTTCTTTACCATCTCTCTTCCAATGTGGGACGATTTCATTAACCTTTTTTTTGTAGTTTTTCTTTATCTTCTTTTAATTTTGATTTTAATAAAAATAATAATTGATTAATTTTTAAAATAAAAAAATGCATAATTTTATTTAAATATCTAAAAATGTAAGACATTTTTATTATTTATATTTTACAAATTTTATTATAAAAACTGATTATACTTTAAAACTAATTATATATAAAATAATCGAGTATCTCACGAGCTTCTCGAATCGAGTATTGGGTAGCATGACTCGACTGGTTAATATGTCGAGTCGAGCTCGAGTTCAAGCCGAGCCTATTCGAGTCGAGTGTCGATCTCGAGTAACTCGTGAGTTGTCTCGTATCGTTCACACTCCTAGTTCAAACCTCAGTATCTCTGATATTTATCAAGCTATGTCAGTATATAAACAAATAAAACTTCATCTGCTTGAATGTGTTTTTCAGATATGATATATCTTAAATTTTACTGATGAAACAAGAATGATGTAGAATTTTGATACAATAAATTTTTATCTGTCCGTAGTTAATAAAGCCAAACAGTAAGAGTTTCAACTCTAAATTTATCAAATAAACACATACATTAAAATTAAAAAAAAAACATATAAATACAAGAAAAATATTAAAAAAAAAGCCACAAAAATAATGTATTTTATGAAAATTACAATGGAAATAAACATAATTTCCTAGAAACCACCTTGATGAACAACATTGTACTTTCCAAAAGGATTCTTAAATTCCATGCCCAATCTTATAAAAATCAAAACCCTGTTCAAACTGAATACATTATTTTGCGATGATGTCGAAACCTGAAATATATTGTGTTTTAGCTGTATTTGCCATACTTTGTTCGGTAACAGTCGGAGACCCTGACATCCTGATTGCTTTTGTGGTCACAGGAAACACCACCATCGATGCCAACTACTTCACTTTCACAAAAATGCGTCAACTGGTGGGTGGCGAGTACCCGAGTACTTTTGGGGTGTTGAAAGCAAGCATGAACGAGTTCCCAGCACTTGTTGGACAAAGCGTTTCGTATGCAGTTCTTGAATTCCCTGCAGGATCCATAAATCCGGTCCACATCCATCCTCGGGCTTCTGAGCTTATGTTCCTTGTTTCGGGAACTCTCCAAGTAGGGTTTGTGGATACCAGTAACACGCTTTTTAAACAAAGTCTAGAAATAGGAGATATTTTTGTGTTCCCCAAAGGACTTGTGCATTTTCAGTATAATAATGACGCTAAAGAACCAGCACTGGCAATTTCGACCTTTGGAAGTGCCAACGCTGGAACTCAATCGATTCCAACCAGTGTCTTTAACACCAGTATCTTTGAGGGTATTTTGGATGCGTCTTTTCGTGCTAAGAGAGCGACTATTCGAAAGATCGAAGATGGGCTCAAGGCATAACCTAATCATGTCAGGCGATAATTACTCTTACTTGGGTTTTCCACTTTTCCCTCTAAAATAAGATTTCCGTTTTCTTTATTCAATATTTTTGCAACTTTCTTTATTCACTTTTACCGTGTTAACCATTTCCTCGATAATTTAAAATGGTTACGATTCCTTACAAAAGCCAAAATGTGACGAAATTTGTCTTAGGGGCCGTTTACCAAACACTTACCCGGTAAGTGTTTACCGGTAAAATTTTGCACTACCACTTACTTACCGGGTAAGACTTTAGTCCACCAAAACGGAATCGTATGTAAAAATTTACCTAGTAAGAGCTACCACAGTAAAAGTCGTTGCCCTCACTTACCGGGTAAGACTCTCGGTTTTTCAAAACCATAAGAACGGAAATAGAAATTTTCAGCAAACCACAAGGAATATTCATTTTTTTCTTGCTGAATTTGTGAAACAAACATTCATCTTTTTTTTCCTATTCCATACTCTTCTTAATCAATAATCATAGATCTTGCAACCATTGATAACCTCAGGGTCGAATTGTGTCAAGTTACATTGTAAATTTAGGCAAATTGTATGAAAAAATAATGTACTTTTACTTGATATTTATCTTGGGTAACACCTTTCAGAACTTACATTTTGGTACCTAAGATATAAAGTTTTAAACATTTAAGTACTCGGGTAACCAGTTGAATAATTAACCGGTTATCATGCTGATATGGTGAGTGATGTGGTATCCAACTCAGTATTATTTGTTGACGTGATTAGTGACATGGATTTTTTTAATCTGAAAATAGTCTTTTTTTAATCTAAATTAGTCTTCAACCGGTTACATAAATGTTTAAAATTTTACATCGTAGGTACCAAAATGCAAGTTTTGAAAGTACGTTATCTAAAATATGAATCAAGTTAAAGTATGTTATTTTTTCATGCAATTTGCCTTAAAATTTTAATAATTAAAAATGTCTGATAGAAATTAAATGATGTCACATAGACTAAAACCATGTTTATCATGTAAAATGGATATAAAAGAAATTCATTATTATAATACATATGTGTGTGTGTTTGTATGTGTGGGGTACGTACATGCACGTGTATGTATGTATGTATCTATACATGTGTGAGAACGAGAACCGCAAAACAAGATGCCGTACAAAAAACAAAGCATTATGACGTTTTTTCCTAAAAGAAGTAATGTCATTATTACAGAGACACGTAATGTTATTCTCGAAGGTCCAAAGTTGTTTCAACAAAACTTTACGCCCTTTTAAAATGTTGGAAAATTAATGGCGAGTTGGAACACGCAGTACATATATTCTTTTGTTTTTCTTATGTGAATAATGTAATCGTTTGAACCTCCCACTGTATACAGATACACACGAGTGTGTGGAATACATATGCATGTACGTATAGATACGCACCCTTCAAGACGATAGTGACGAATCACACAGATTGCAGGGTACAATTTCATAACCATACAAAATCATATGCAAACGACTTGACAAGAAACGTGTGGCCAATAAATCACAGACATACACGTAGTCAGTATAATATAAATCACATGCATACACGTAGTCAGTATAATAAGAGGAGGCGTTGCGTATAGAAAATGAATACAGCAGAAACAAAAAGACTGTAGATAATGAAAACGACGTAAAACAAGATATACGAAATGTAGTGAAATTTAATTGAATCCAACAACTAAACATGAAAATCAACAACTACCAAATCTTGTAGTACTTACAAGGGAAGAAAAGGAGGTTTTGATTGTGAATGGTGGAATGAGCCAAAGATGGTTCACTTTCATGACTCAAAAGACTTATCCCCATGGTCAAAATGCCCATCAACATCATTTTATCTTCTATGTCATATGTTATTTATTTTATTCGGTAATCGTGGGTTTTTGGACTAACTTACGTGTATCAACTGATCCAGTAAATGATTTGGATGGTGTTTGTTTTTTAAGAGGTGTTGAAATCTGAAGTCTGAAATTTGAAACAGTAAGATTGTTTGTTTTTACTAAAAGATGAATAGTTTTTGCTAACAAATCGCTTCCGGCCCTCAAAATATGAACCATGTGATAAAGGATGGACTAGGATTAGGGGTTGTTTGTTTTTCATTTCTTTCTCCACTTGTTGAGATCATGTGTCACTTTAGTTGCTTAAAATTTTAATTGCAATGATGTTTTTTTCTACTTTTTAGATCTATATTTGTTCATTAATTGCTAAATAAGGGTTACACTTTTTAGGTCTATTAGCCTGTGAGCAAGCCTGACATGTTTATAGGGCACAATGGCAAGTTGTCAAGCCCGAAAAAAGGACTTAGATTTACAATATTAGACCCGTTGGACAAAAAACAAGTTAGACCCAACTCAGATCCAACTCAAACCTGCAAATCATCACCTCTAGTAATAAGTTCATATTATTTGAAGCCCTTTTTGTTATTAACTTCAATTTAAAGCATTTGGGAATTTAAAATGGTTTCATATGTGTTTTAGCAAATTTATAGGAAGATGGCTTAAACATCATATAAGTGGGAGTTTATTTGGATTCAGTATGGATGTTTAAATAACAAGGTTAAATATCGTAAAAAAGTTAAGATAAAATTCATATATGAATTATTGAAAAAATTCAATTAAAGATGCATATGTGAATCCATATGAATAATAATATGTAACATCGGTTCACATTTGCATCTTTAAATTGATTTTTCAAGATCTTTAGATGATTCAAATATAAACCTTGCTTTAACATTCCGTTATTATCTTCTCACAATATTTAACCTTAACCGATCTTTAGATTCGACCCTTTTTATTTTATCGATTTTCCGCAAGACTCGAAATCTTGAGTTTGGAGGATTTTAAGTTCAAATAACACGTATCTTCGAGACATTGATACACCATGTTCCATTACAGCGCGATGATTCCTTCATTATTCACTATTGAATATATATATATATATATATAGAGAGAGAGAGAGAGAGAGAGAGAGAGAGAGGGGGATATGTTCAAATAAGAAACTAAACATTTTACGGGAAGCTAAGAAAATTCTATATCATATATAATTACACACATAATACACAAGTTTAATCATATATGATTAAATACATGTTCCGTTCACAACACATAGACAATTATATATGATCAAAGACACCCCAAGAAGTATAATCATATATAATATCGAAATTTCTCGTTTTCTCGCAAAATGTTTAACTTCTCACATGATTTTTCATATATATATATATATATATATATATAGAGAGAGAGAGAGAGAGAGAGAAAGAGGAACGATCAAATACAAATCACTCAATTTGTACAAACCGTGAAAACCATATTCAACCAATCATAATTTTTCATTTTGTTCATTTTTTTGTAATTTATGAGAGGTTAATTAAACATTTTCATTCTGGAGGGTATTAATCATGGATATTATCATTTTCATTATTTTAATTTTAGAAAAATACATAAAACAGTTTCATTAAAATTTCATTAATTATTATATGAAACAATTTCATAACCATATATGAAACAACTTCATAAGTCTTATATGAAACAATTTCACAAGATTAAACAATTTCATGAAAAAAATTCATAATATTAAACAATGAAATCGACGGATGAGAGTGGTTTGCACGGTTTGTATAAATTGGGTGGTTTGCATTTGATCGCTCATATATATATATATATATATACACACAAACATACATATATATAGTCAAGTAGAAATAAAATTCGTAAAAAAATGAAAAACTGAAAAACATTCTAATAACCATCGATAAGTTCAATTTCTTTTTAAAAGTTTTCCTTTGAATGGTTCACTTTCTATATATGTATATGCGTGTGCACTGAAACTGATATATGAAAGAATATGTAAAATTACGTATATAGCCCTGTCATTTCTGAAAATGGCAATCATCTTTGAAAACGCAAACCCTTAAAAGTAAGCCTCTTATCATATATCTTCAAAAGAAAACAAAAACTATACAAATTATGGTGGGTGGGTAATTTTTTTTCCTAATTCTATAATCTATAAAGATATTTATATATATACACACAGAAATCTAGGGGCAATTTTGTAATTTTATAGTCTACATAGGGTACCCAAAATTTTGTTGACGTTCATACCCCAGTGGTGGTGTTGCTCCTCCGTGGAAATTGGTAGGTGGAGGTGGCGGCACCGCCATGGTCTCCGCCGTGGTGGTGATGTCATGGATGCTTGATCTCTTCCTCTCTTTCTTCATCGAATTCTGCCGGAGGAAATACTTTTGGGCGTGACTGGCGACTTGCGTCGGCGTCCTTGAAACCACCACGTTTCTCGAAATGCTCCGCCAATCGCCCTTGCCGTACCTTTGCAATCCGATCAGAAATAACCTATTGAAAGTGATTCCGATCAAAATCCAACACCGATTTGCCATAATTAGATACGTAATCAACAAAATGCACTAATTAATTTTGAAATTTGATGATTTATTGGAGGTTTAATCGAAATGTACAAGTAATCAAGCGTAACGTACCTATGTTCTTCTTCCGTCCATGGAGTCCCCTTCTTCCTTTCACCATCACCATGTTTAGATCCTTTCCCCATTCCAAACGAGATCTGACTCGCTCGCAACTCAGGATCCCAACTCAGAAACGACTCGTCACCATCGTCGTCAGCATAACTCGGTAACTCAACTTGACCGGAATCAATCTGAAGCAAATCGTGGACCAACACCTCGTAGTGAGCTCTCACCTGCTCCGCCGTCTTACCTGGAACGGCATCAGCGATCTTCTGCCACCGTCCAACGACGTCGTCCGGATACATCACCAAAGCATCCTCAAACAACTTGTCTTCATATCTCGACCACGTAGACTCCGCCGCTACCGCCGCCGCGGCGTCGATCGCCCAATCGGTGTCTTGATGATACATCAAAATTGAATCGATCCGACAACCGATAAATAGGGATTTCGATAAGTTTAGTGCCTGAAAATCTTCGCCGTGAAATTGAATTAGGCTCTAGATTTTGCCGATTGACTTCGAGAATGAATTTGGGCGAGGGATTTGAGGGGTTTTGTAAGACCACTTTTTCCTTCTTGCTTCCAATAAATGAATTCGTTGATGGGTTGGTGAATCCGTGCACATATTTATATGTGTAATAGCAGCCGTAAATATCTTTTATTATTTAAAAAATATTAATTATTCTAAAATAATTGTCTATATTTTTATTTTAATATGACCTGATCAAATAAAAACTGATGGACTGTTTGACAGTTGCAAAATGGTTTGGTGCAAAATGATTAAGTGGTCTGTATACTTAATAGACCCTTATAATATAGTGTAAAATAAAATATAATTGTTTGGTAATTGCTTACAATGAAATTAGGACGGTAAATGATTAAGGGAGACCCAAAATACAAAATGCTTTAAAGGTAACTTTCACAGTGTTTTTACTGTAAAGTTTTAGCTTTTTCTATCTTTACAGCATTTTAACAAGTTCTATGTATAAAAAAAGGGTCTTATCATAAAAATAGACTGATTTTACATTAACCCAATCTTAAGTTATAGTTGAGTCAAACATCACATTGATATAAGATTTTTTTTTACCGACCAATAATAATTAATTAATATTTATTTACCATGAATATATATTTATTTTTTTAATAATATATAAAAATAAATAATACTACGATAAAGACCGTTTAAGAAGGGGTGAAACTTCCTATGTGGATGCTAAACCGAAAGAAGGGGTATTTTAATTAATGGAAAATGATTAATTTATATTTAATTAATTAAAAAAATATTAAAATACATGCTTAAAAAGAACATTAAAATATTAAATTAATATTGCTCCAATGTGAACATGCCACGTAGCAGAAGTAGTGTGAGAAAGAGAAAGGAGCTTCATTAAATCAATATTGACTATAAGAGTTTACATCAATCCGTATGTTTGACTTCATATTATTGGTCAAACATTTTTCTTTGTCTTTTATTATTTTAATTCTTAGCCGTTGTTTATTTATCTTTTAATAGTTTTATTAAAAGATGAATCTTGTTTGATAAAAAAGAAATTGTCTTTTAATGCTTCTAAAATCTTTTTAATGATTTTGTATCTTAGGTCTTTCTTAACCATCCAGTACTCTAATTTCGTTGTAAATAATTACCAAACAATTGTATTTTATTTTGCATTATATCATGAGAGCCTCTTAACCATTCTAATCATTTAGGGGCTGTTTGGCAGTTGTTGAATAACTTTATGCAGAGTCATTAAGTGATCATAATGATTAAGAGGCTCTCATGATATAACGCAAAATTAAATATAATTGTTTTGTAACTGTTTACAATGAAATTATGGCTCTTAATGGTTAAGTGAGGCACATCATACAAAATCATTCAGAGAGTTTTAGAACCATTAAGAGACATACTTTTTTTTTCCAAACAATATTCACCTCTTAACAATTCAGAGATTGTCTCTTAATAGAACTATTAAGAGGTAAACAAACAACCCCTTAATCATTCTACACCAAAGCATTCAGCAACTGTCAAACAACCTCCTAGTGTTTCATTTTTGGTCCACAAGGTACTTGTATTAGAGGTGTAAATGAATCGAGTCGAGTAGTAGATTAATCGATATCGGTTCGAAAAAAGAGTATTAGGTTCGAGCTAAAAATAATTTGTTCAAAGTCGGGCTGGAACTCGAACTCAAATATTTTTTCAATGTTTGGTCTTGAGCTTGACGTCAAGATCAATTAACTCGTTTATTTGCTCAAACCCAATGAATTATATTATAATTATATAATTTATAAACGTATAAATATGTATGCCTCGAAAAAGTGTTTGGTCGAATGGCACGACTCGACTCGACTCGACTCGTAAAGTTTAATCGAGCTTTTGAACGAGTCGAGTCGAACATTGGTGTTATGCAACTCAACTCGTTAACTTGAGCAAGATTTATTTTATAGCATTGGGTGACCTGTTACATTTTAAACTGATAAGTTTACTGCTAAGAAGTACGCCAATGGATTGAGAGAAAATTTTGATATGAAGTTATTGGACTTACAATATGTTGTGATGTAGAAATAGAAGTGTCTAGTGAACATCAACTTCAACTGGTGGGTGGTGACGACAAATGTTATGATGGATGAATTTTAAAATACAATGTTTTAATAATAAAAAATTAATTTGAAAATACAATATTGTAATAAAAAAACGAAAGTACAATGCTATAATAAAGAAATTTATGAAAATAGATTGTCATTTCTCGCATTTTAGCTTAAATTTTTAATTTCAAACGACGTTCCAACGATTCCTTTTACGTAATTTAAATAAAAGTCTTGATATTTTTGGACAAAAATATCATCGTTTATAGTGCTAATGAAAATTATACGGCTGATGGATTGACGAACACTCTTGAAGCTGACGTTTCAAGTTCCTAAATTTGTAAACCAACGTACGTTACCTTTTACTGTGTTCTCGTATGTAAACCAGATATATAAATGTTTTAAGGTGTGACATCTGAAATACCAAAATAAAAGTTTTGAAAGTACATTTCAAAGAACAAAAACTGGATCAAAATACGTTTTATTTTCATGTAATTTATTTCAAGAAATAATTAAAAAAATGTACAGCTTTTAATGTATAGCTCAGTTGGTAAAGAAATCAGGTATTCTGCTCATATACAAATAATACAAAATGTGCCGTTTAATATTATTAAAAAAATATTAAAATAATAATCTTATCCGTTACAAAAAGATGGGCAGACAGAGAGACAGTTGGAGGAATCCGAGCTGGAAAACGGAACAAAGGCTCCCTGTTCAGATTGTGGCTGCTAGCCGTATTTGCTACGATGACAGCCGCTTTTTTTTACTGCAACGTCGGCAACCGCCTTTTTGGAAATGACAGCTCTTATTCTGAGCCTTTGTCACAGACCTAGCTGTCACTTTAACCAACCACTCCTCTCTCCCGAATTTAATTTGGTTTTTTATTTTAATTTTTAAAAGTTTTAGAGAAAGTTACATCTTTGGTCCCTGGGGAATGTTTCTATTATCATATTTTGTCCATGAACTTTATTTATTACTTCGGTTTGTTAGTTTGGTTTGCAATTTGTTATGGTTTTGGTCTTTTTGACTATCTTCGTTAAAACTGTTTGTCAAGTCAAGGGTATTTTGGTATTTTTACACAAGCATATAGTTTTATAATAAAAGGGTATATTATTCCTTTCCTCTCTCCCGTTATTCTCTATCTTGTCCCGAGTATTGAGTGTGATTGTAGCCCTTTGTTGGCGATGCGAAAAACCAACTTACTCTGCTACCACCCCTCTTCTTCTTCTACCCATGCTGCCTCTACGATCCGACAACCTCCTCAGCAACCCATACTAATCCACCCCCTGGTCATCTTCTCTGCGACATCCAAATCTAACACCTCAATAACCCAAAATTCCAAAAACCCATATCCGACTTCAAATAATGGAGGCTATGTGTGTTTGTGCAAGTTGTGTGGGTGGTGAATACAAATAATGAAGATATGTGTGTTTGTTTGCATTTAGGATCCAGGGTATGGAGTCGGGAGTAAATTGGAGATTGCTAGATTGTATCTCGAGGTTTTGAAGTAGCCCACTTGAGGGAAATGCGGTAGAAAGCGAAAACTTTATCACATGTGGCTTGTCATACTACGCGTGGTGGTGGTCGGAGAAGGAAGAGAGGGGCACTGGAAAAGGTGAGTGTGACGTCTGTACGTGTGTGTGTGTGTGTATATATATATATATATAATTTTAATGAAAAATAAAGTAGTAAAAAAAGACCAAAATGCCACTAAGGTAATTGGTATTTTTGTAGTGGATAGTGAGAGGGACCAAAATCGAAATGGAATTATAATAATATTAATCATCAATATAATAAAAGAACTTTAGGAATTAAAGTTGATAGTAAGACATACTACAGGGACCAAAAATATAATTTACTCAATTTTTTTTAAATATATAATATTTTTATATAACAAATAAGCTTACACACTCTACTTACATTTGTTAAGGTTTAAATCTCTGACCTTCTAAGAGACTAAAGACTACGATACCGTTAGGCCAAAAGTCCTTTAGTCAATTTACTCAAATTTTTATTTAAAAGTTTATGACTACACATCACGAACAATAAAATTTCATAAACAATTTGTAGATTTATTTAACACTTTCATTTTTATACAACAGGTATATCTAACCAGTATAATTTTTGACATTTTAATGCATTATTAATTAAAAAATAATAATATAAACAAAATACCTAATATATTTTAGATATAATTTATACAACCTCCCAATACTCGTACAGTGGAGAACAAGGAATCAAGAATCTTCGTGAACGGATGAATTAAGAAAACCAGATGATTCAAATAAATATAACCATTGGATTAAAAGCTGATTTAATGGTTGATGAATGGTTCCCAGTTCTCCAGTTTTCAGGGTTCCTCCTCGAACAACGAAAAAAGATGGAGATTCGAAAGAGAACCTCAATAAATTGGAGAACCTTAAATCCTATATCAACCGTTGGATTTAAAAAGCAGATATTTCATATTCAAATGTACCACAGTTGTATATGTGGAGGTACGTATGGAAAAATGTAACTGCTTATGTTATTGATAACCATTGAACTAAACTGATCGATGGTTGATGGCAGGTTTTCAGTTCTCCATTTTAGGGCCCCCCTTTGAACCCACACCACTGTATATAATTTTTTAATGAAAAAAAATTCAAAAAACTGAATTCAAGTTGCATATGCAATCGTAAATAGAACGACAAAACATTAGTAGTAGACATTTATGTATAACCTTATCAGTAAATGCATTTAATGGTTTATCTGTCATGCAGAAAAATTGTCGATCACAACTGACAACATAATGACGTATCGTCACCGTTTGCATGATTGGTGCAAAAAAGACCATGTTGGACATACTTTTCAAAAATAGTTAATCCAAGAACTTCAAAATTTAAATCTGTTCATCTGATAATATACTATTTATAGGATATTTTAAATAAGGGCAAATTGTATGAAAAAAAATAACATATTTTAATTTGATTCATATTTTGGATAACGTATTTTCATAACTTTCATTTTGAT